TAAGTAATAAAAATATAAATTTAAAATGTTAAAAAAAAGATTGTACTATTAAATACATTATAATTTTTGTGTGTTTTTTCTTGCTAAAGAAAAGTGAAATGAAAATGATATCTCTCTTTGCTACCAGGTTGTACTTATTCATTTTCTTGTACAAACATGTTACATACATAATTAATACTACAGCGGTTAGAGTGTGTAAAACTCATTCTACGGGATTCCTTGTCTGTAAAGTTTAAGAGAAGAGAATAATTATACTATATAAATGCTATGTTACGTCCCTCGGAAAAGATTTCGGTGTGGAAAACAGAGCGGTATTTAGAAAGAATAAGGCATAATCAATGTTATTCCCTTCCAGCTTTGCTAAGAGTTTTATATCTTTGTTTAATTTAGTTCCATTAACTGACACCATGTTTTCTTACCATCTTCATCGAGTACTGGTATTTGTTAATAGCTGTTGAAACAAGAAAAAACCTTTTTGTATCTGTGTATGTTATTGTGTATATATATTTTTTATTTACTTAGTCAAATGTTTTGGCTCTTTGTAGGGATCTGTTAGAAAAGTTAAGTTTTTTAAAAAAATATGTCTAATCAATTATAAAGATTGTGTCATGGTTTTCCAGTGTAAACTAGGAGGAAAATGAGACCGACTGAATGTGTGAGTGTCAGTCAGTGAGAATGGTGTTAGAGGGTTATGGAAATTATGTAAAGACCTAATGCAGCCATAGAACTGAGCAATGCAGATCATCCCGAGGGACTTGTTCTTTGTACAGTAAACAAATCATGAACGTCAGTATAATGTTTTTTCATTCAACTGTAGTTTTTAGAAACTTGCTTCCTGTCCAGTCATATGCCAATGTCTGTTTTTCTTGATGAAAAGAAACTTTGAGAAAGAAATTCTATTTCCCATCAAAGCAAAGAAAGTCACATCCTTTTCAGAAATGATATATATCTGCCATATGTATCGGGGAGAGAGAATAAGAATTTTCCTCGAAGCCTTTTTGAAATGCATATTTGCTATAATGATCAGATTGTAAATGTCTCCTGTTTCAGTCATTGCTTGGGGCGTAAATTAACGCCCCGCCACTTCAGATCTTTTCCCGAAAGTTCCGTCACTCTGATAGGACTCTTGCCTTTTCTACTACATAGTCTGTAAGGAAGTAACCTATATACTTTTCATGGTGTCTTGGAAAGTTTTGCAGTGAATATCTTGTGTTGATGTGTTGTTCCATTATTTTCCGTGAATTTGCCTTTTCCTCGGGCGTGAGCACAAAGGATTACAGTTGAAAGAACTTGAAAAAGGCTGATAAAACAGACTGGTAAATGTGAATGTTACTGATAAAGTGGTGGAGAGAAGGATGCTGTAGTATCCTTGAAGGCTCCATCTAATTGGACGTGGCAGTAGAAGTGTGCGTCACTTCTGTTGTTCCTGGATTTATTGTTACTGCAAGTTTTCTCTTCTCAGTCGTCTCATTGTGCATAAACCCTCCCTTCTTGTGTGTAATATTACGTAATTGTACAGTATTCACAAGTGGGACTGTTTTTTTTTATATTTCTTTTTTTGCGAAGTGTGATCATCTTGCCAATGTTGTTGATTAAATAAATGTTATTGCTATATCTCGTAAAAACAAAAGAAGACAAAAGAGAATTATTATTATTATTATTTCTATTACTACTACTATTATATACTGTTATTAACGGATTTTGATGACCTCCTTCCTCACTATTCTTTACTCAAGTGTAACGTCACACTTTAAGGAAATGGTAATACACTAGTGTCATCTTGGGAAAAATACTGATCTGAATAAAACATGTTCAGACCTAACCCTATACCTGTTATTAATGCTGTTTCTCAGGACTGTATAAACTGATTTGATATCATATTTATGAATTGAATTATAATTGTGGAATGGTGTAGAGTAATTAGTAGAGCATGTTGAACTAGTTTTCCACAGACAGAGATGCTACCTCGGCAATTTAGAGATGATATATGCACTCATTAGTAAATTCTGATCTGGTATAACTTGTAGGATTTGCGGTTTTCACAGTGGTGAGTCTGAAGATTGCTGTCTTCTGGGTTATTGTGCCGCGTGGTCTGGTAGATTTCCACCGTTTCAGCCTCTGTCATCAGGGCCGGCTGTCGGTAAATACTTCTGGTCTTAGTATTGATTTACTTTAATTTGCATGTCCATTGTATTCATGAGTTCGTCTGATTCTCAATGTAAGTAAACAGAAATTATTTTCTGAAACAGTTTTAACCAGCTGACCTTAGTAATGGAGAAATGTTTTCTTTGGGGCAGAGACTGAAGTCTTAAGTATGTGTACTTCCAAGGTTTAATGTGTGCATTTGTGTGTGTATGTGAACCATGACAATTACCACCACCTGGAAACATACAAAATTTTGCATTGTCATTTTCCTTGGCCAGTCTTTTATTGTTCTGGTTATATTCTTGGAGTTTTTTCTTATTGTTCTTCCAGTGTATGTTAAAATTTATGTGACCATCTGCCTAATTGGTTTTGCTGATTAATATAAGATTTTGTTTGGCATTGTTTGAATTTTTGTATTTGGTGTTCCTGTCAACTATTTCAGTTCTGTTAATACCACGGCAAGTTGAAAATCGCTAGAATTTACAAATTCAAATTTATCCTACAGTATTATAAATTTTATTTCTGCTTGTATGCCAGAAAGGATACATTGTCATCATACCACTTGTCTCAGTTACTCACAGGTAAATCATTGTACATGCACAGCAAAAAGCCCTAGGATTGATGAAAAATATTTTGTGTAATAAAAGATAATGGATTGATGTACTATAATTATTTCTCTTTCCATGACAGTATAACTGTTTAAGAATTATATATTTTGTTGATCATGTATTTGATTGGGTTGACCATTGTATGATGTGTTCTTGTACGATATGTTAGATTGACCCAGAGGTTCCACCTAGTTTTTTTGGTACATACAAGTTCTTTCATGAGCTTTCGACCAGTGTATGCCAACCCAGCATCGTGAGGAAATTGGGGAGCTACAATAAGTAGCGTAATCTGGTCAGGAAAGCTAGCAATGGCTGGGGGTTCGTCATGCTGACCACATCCTATGTATATCTGGTTAGGATGATCATTCACCTCTGTTTAGGCATGTGAACATGAAGCCAGCAGTCAAGCTAGTCGGCTTTGGCTCTCTGGAGCTGTTACGCCACGGATTTAATTTTTACAAGTTCTATCAGAATAAATGGTAAGTTTGCGGAATTGTTAAGCTTGGGAGTGTCTCAAGAGTAAATCATATTCTCGTAGTCTGTGACAAAGCTGTAGCGTAACATGTTCTGTTTTGCTCTAAACATTCTTATTTTGTGATTCATGATATTTAATACTATGTTTTTGGTTAAGTGTTATTGTTGCGTATCTCTTAATTACATACTCAGACATGAATATTTTAAATTATGTATATATCTGCTTCCTTTTACATCTGTCATGAAGTTGTCCATTCATACAACCACATTATTATTTATTATAATTAATTTTGTCAGTTGTATATGGTTATTGGATTCTTAAATCACATTTCTTTACGTGACAGTTGTGTGTGTTGCTTGATCTTATTGATGCCAAGTTACCACTTCCATTTTTACCGTGAATTTCAGTTCCAGGGCAGCTTAATTTATTCTGTTTTGTAACTTGTGGTAGCAACAACCATTCATTCTCATTGTGATTAATTTATTGAAAATATTTTTATGTTTGGAAGAGTAGAATGTATGTAGTAGTATTTGCAGTATGTATATGTATAAGACGGTGCTGCCCAGATAGTTGTAATTTCTCTGATCATCCTGGTGGCTCTCATGTGAGTGATATGTTGGTAACGCATATTTAAGATGGTGGAGGTGAAGAAACAGTCGTTTCTACATGCCCTGAGAAATAAGCAAGTATATATTCTGTCCTGAACCCCCTGAGTTCATGTAATTGTTACTGTGACACTCTTACAACAGAATTGTAACAAACGTGCCAGATTTCCTTACCCCAAAACCTTACACTTGTTAACTTTGCTATGTTTTACCCACACTCCCTTCCATTAATTTATATGCTTCACACTGAGACAAGGTTTCCATGTATTATGTAATTTGAAGGTGGGATTTTTTTTTAAAGGAAGGAAACTGAGAACGTTTCCCTTGGTGTCCACTCGATTCTCCACCCTGTATTATTTGCTGATGTTCTTTTCAGTTTATGATACTGGATGTGTGGTTTGCCCATGTTAACAAATTCATTACAGTACAATACAGTAATGCATATTATTCTTGTATATCATATGTCTTAATTAATCCTGTCTCAGTGAGTGGGAAAGAAAACTAGTCTTATTATTATACATATGAAATATATATATGTTGAAACATTTTGTACTATACACACTACAATATAAATTACATGCATAATATATTAAATATCTAACTTTTTACATACATGCAATCTCATATATTTCATGAGTACATGTATGTAAAAACAACTGAGTAATTAATAATAATATTAATGAGAATATTGAAATATATACTGTACATATAAAATTTCAGTGCCATTACTCCCTCCATATTTTCTCCCCACTCCAGAACATGTGAATATTTGTTCATACCATTTATATCTTACTCCATAACCCTCCCTTTGTTTCTTGTGAATGTTTGCATTGTTTCAACAGAAATTTCAGAAATTCTAAAATAAAGCCTATTATTTCCATGTGTAAAGGTTTTATAAATATTTCTTTCCTTCATTCTGTCCTTAAATATTTGCCAGTAAACGCAGTCCATTCCGGTCCTTTCTATAGCATTATGAGATTGGGGAATTTATGCCCTATACTGTGGTACTACTTAATAGACATCAACTTTGAGGTTAATGGTTTAGTATTACACTACTGTGATGTACAACCAGTTGTAATGCAGAAGACTTACACAGCTAGAAAATTATTGTCAACTTCAAAATGGATTTGATACAAATATTTATTTTGGTTTAATTTCTGATTGTAGGTACTTGTGTAATAGCTCAGGTGGTTAGATGGTTCTGACTGAAGATTCGAATTCAGTCACCAGTAAATCCAGGCAGACAGAATGGCATTTCTTTCTTGTGGACTTTGGTATCCCGATCATCATTCTGCTAATGCTCCGTAATTATCTAACACCTGAGTTGTATAGTAATTCCAGCATTCAAGCACATTATCAAAGCCTCAGTCTTCAGTTGCAGATTCTCATCTGACCCAGCACTTGCCACTCAAGAGTAAGAATGTTACATTTCTTTTATAGTGTTTTTCATATTTATTATAGCAAAATCAATCTTATGCCAGATTTTCATGAATTTTTCATAGAGAGAAAATTATTTTGTCTAAATTGTATGCAAAGCATTTGGAATATTGTGCTCACTGTCCTTACTTTTCATTACATTATGTACAGTTGCATACACACATTTTCAAAAAACTTATTTTTGTTTATACTGTGCTATTTTTCATTTAATTTATTTATCGTACAATAAACTTGGATAAGTTAATCAATGGTTGCTGACTACAGACTAGAGTTTCCATCAGGGGCAACATTTTTTTCCTCCATCCTCTACATTCAGACCAGCTCTGGGTCCCACTAGTTCTATCCAGTGGGTACCAGGGGACTTTTCCCTAGGAGTAAAGTGCGGCAGAAGTGTAATAGCCAGTCACCCCCACTGAGGTCAACAATGAATAGGAGCTATACCTACTTTCCCTTCAAGCATCTTCATGTGGGAAGACCACAAAATCTTGTTCTAGGTATTTTGATTGATCTTCCTGCTTCAGCAGATAAAAAAGAAGAAATAGATAAATAAAATACAAATGTACTTCAGAGCAGAAGTTTTATTTCATGTAATAAGGGTGATTTTGCTAAATCTGAACCAAGGCACATACTTAACAAGATTTCATATAACTTCCATTACAATAGGTACCTAATATATCTTAATTTTTTCTGAACAATACAGAAATTTGAACAACCAATGGAAATTGTGCAAGTTACTGAAAATCAATATCATATTGGCATTTCTCTTGTTCAGATGTAAATGTCTTACCCTGTAGATCTATATTAAATATGGTATAAAAGTAATACACATTAAACTTTTAGATATAAATACCCTTAATAACAGCTAGAGCACAAATTTATATCACAAACATATATACAATATATCACAATCTGCATATAGGAACTCATCCTGAATCCTTGATGTGTGCGGGACCTGCAATGTAATACTATCACAGCTTGTTTACATGTCATTATTAAGTATAATAATGAAACATATACATGTTAATCAGAACTCCATTAATAAAGGCACTGATGTCTCCAACTTTTGTATGCCGTTGAAATTTTGTGAAGATTGTAGGGTTTTGAATTAATCTCGGTTAAAATCGTATACTGTATGGGTTTATAGATGAATGAATAACGTGAAGATGTGTTTTGGGATATTGCACCTTGTAGTCCCATAACATACACATATTTGTCCTTATGGTATTTATGGTCATTATCTTGAAAATATTACATACAAATAAAATACATGTCATGTATAATATTTTGTCCCATTAGTCCATTTTGTTTAGGAGGTTTTAGGCAGTCGTCTATATTAATTACAGGTTAAGTGTAACAGACTTTGTGAAAAGTGGTAATCTGTTTTGTAAATATGTTACAGCTTTATTTGATGAATAAGGATTCTCTAAATGCCAAATTTAATCAGAATCAGTTTATCCAAAGTAGAATATGATTCCCAAAACAACTGCTGATTTCTTGTCAACAAATATTTGTATTACAACATAATTTGGTTAGGAAAACATATCCCCTATTAATTTCAGACATGGGAGATGTGTTTGACCACCCTCAAAACTCAGCCCTCATTTGAACAAATGTTTATAAAACCAGAGATAAGGAAGCAAGTAACATTTCTTTATCCACAGTTAATCACTAAGAAAGACGTGGAAGCTTTTTACTTTGGAATAAAATATTAATTCATCTGGGCTAATAAAATCTTAACCTCACCTCTCTTCATAATGTCTTTGTAGCTTACTTCAAAAAAGGAAAATCTTTGTTTAAACAATAAATACGAATATAGCTGTTAGGTATGTACAGGATGAAGGTATAGAGTCATGGTAACTTGATGCAGATGAGAGTGACTTTGAATGTAAATGAATCTTGTGACTAGTTCACTGCATCTGGACTTTGTTCAGTTATGCAAGCAGCTCATTTTGAATTCCACATATGATTATATTTGTTCATTCCCCACTGTTCGTAAATTGTTTATAGAATCTATTGAAGTTTTCCAGGTGCTTTAAGAAGGAAGGCAAGCTAAATTACATGAATTTCCCTACTTGATACATTATTGATTTCTTGTACATATTATAGTAAATAAGTTACAGTATGTAACAAGTCAATATATTACATAGTTCAAGTTATAGCAGGCCTTTTCTAGGTTATGTTAAAAAATATAATTAATTATTTGAATTTTGATAACTTCATAGTGTATGATATTGAAATATGTTGGAGTTATGTCATTAAATTAGTGAGTAGGAAACTAGCAAATTATTTTCCATCACTGGAATGATCCCTGCATATGAGCTGTAGTGAAACATATAATTTAAGAACTGCTGCATAAGTTATGAGTATTTTTGGATGTAGAATTGCTTTCGTAGTCAGCAACTGTCAGTCTTTAAATTCAAATAAACTATTACTGATATAACGATTTTAACAGCAGAATACAGTTCTAGTCTGTTTACAATACGAGCACCCTTATGAGATGCAATTTATTTGGTATGAATTCTGTTCAGACAACGTTGGCAGCTTGCATTTCATCAGACTGTTTCATTGATCTTCTGGACCTAACTGATCTCTGGAGCATGCTGGATCGATACATTTCTCCTCGGACAGAAGCTCTGAAGGATGCCCTACCCATCTGCACGTTGCTTCTTTGGAAGTTACTGCTCATCTCTGCTGAGTCCTCTTTATCCAGAGTCCTGCATGAAAACAGATTTGGTTTGTACACATATGATGTAAAAGTCAAAAGTTAAATGTCATTTATTCAGTAGACCCGCCTCATTCATGGGTTTTTCATCATTGTTTTGCTTATTCATGGAAACGTTATTGTAATATGTGTGCGTTGTAGCTTAAGTCCCTCACTCTTTCTTGGTTTCTTTTGCACAGGAACATCTCACATGTATTCTCGTGTCTCAGCACCTTCGTAGATATTAATGATGTACTGAGTGTACTTTACGTAGTAGTACTTATTGTTGCCCCGGTGTTCAATCACCCTGATGATTTTCAGCCAGGAATGTCAACATTCCAGTATACACCAGCAGTAATGTTTTTGTGAAACTTAATCAGTTATATATATTGTGTTTCATGTGTCTTGTTCCCCTAACCTAATTTTTTCCATAAGGTATAAACTTCACACATCAACAGTTTTGCTGTTTGTGGGGGTTTTCAAGAACATAACCCCTGCAAAAAGCGAAGGTGAGCTGTATTTCAAACTGGAATAACACTCGGAGCAAAACAAAAATATACAAACAAAATTGAGGAATCTGGTAACATTATTAACATTGTCATTAACTGAAGGTAAATATGAAGTTCCTGCCCCTGCCAAATTGAACCTTGGTCATCCCACATATCTAGTCACTTCTGACTGTTCTGTCCTGAATATAGTCATTAACTTGTGTGACTGACTACCAAGTATCTCTTGTTGGTATTCTGGGTAGCAACTTTGTATGTTACTACCCAGAAGCTCAGCATTGATACGTTCAGTGCTGTAAGAAAATCAAATCCCACACCGAGTCTGTTTTCAGCGCACCTTTGTAAAACAATTTGATAAGCATCTTGTACTTACATGAAGTAATAAACCAGTATCCTCTTGAGCAAGATAAAACAACAAGAAACTTTATAGCCTTTTGTACTGCATAAGATGTCACAATTAGCAATAAATTCTTATAATACTGATGGAAAAGGAAATTTGTTTTATCAAGATGGTTTATGTAAGGTTAAGTATAAGAGAAATGCAACTAACTTGCTACAGCATGGGAAGTCTAGGAATCTTTGGCCTTTTCCAAAGTTCTCTCCATCCTGCAGGGTTTGTGGTAGTTCTTTGTCCAGAGTCTCAGGTAGGAAGAGAGCCAAGATCCCCCCAGTAATACCGATAGTTCCCAGGACTAACAGTGGAAGTGCTGGGCTGATGTTGGCCTGCACACAATCAACCATTACAATGGCACAATTAATATATCTGCAAAACTGGTATATACTGAGTTAGAAACTTTCTGGATACAAGAAAATGGACATTTATTTCTGCTGTCAAGTCTGGACTTTTCTGTAGATTAGCCAATGTAAGACAGAACTTTCTGGAATACGCCTGATAACCAAACAGTTATATTTATTTGATGGATATTGGATTATAACAGCTTTGAATTTTGGAGGCTCTTATATTCACGTTCTAAATGCAGAGTGTCCCGCAACAGAATGTCCATAGCTTAACTACGTCCTCTTGGGATCATTTTGAGTCAAAAAGTTCAAATAAACGTGGGTCCTGTCTGCAACATAGTGTTACTTGTCCTATCACTTGCATCCTCCTTAATTTGATTACCATAATAATATTTGGTGAAGAGTACCTACAGATTATGAAGCTCTATAAGCAGTTAATTTGAGGTTAGGTATTTGCACAACTTACCAGGTAGACAACAAATGGAGCCAGTATGCTTGCGACATAGCCCATTATGTGAATAAGAGCAACACCTTGTGCCCTCACAACAGTTGGCAGCACTTCAGCTGCATACTGAAGCCCGATGTTGTAAGAGATGTTAACACTGAAACGACCCATAATTGCAAGGACTGCTGATGGACCACCTGCAATTTTGGTAACACATGTTTGATTTTAGATAAATTGTTTTCTTTGCTTCTAAATGATAAACTTACAGAGACCTGCTTGCTGTAATATCTTTGCATGAAATTTCAGAAAATTTTGTAAAATAATAATTCGCAATTTCAGAGGAATTTTAATAGTGATATTAAATTATAATTGATATTTCTGAGACTAAAAAGTTGTAGTAATACAATGGAAAAAATGAAGTGATATGACATTAAAAAGTGACATAAAATAGACTATGAGATGAAAAGTGTTTAGGAGTTGTCCTATCAAATAATATACAATCCAATTTGGCAAGGTGATGGAGAAGAAGAGATTGGATAGTATCAGTGTGGAAATAATTTTAAATATAATATTAAAACCATGTATTGAAGAATGAAGGAAAAAATATGTAACTAAGATTCAGTAATATATAAATGCTCACCAGTTGGGACAGCTGTTGCCAAAAGGCTGAAAACTCCACCCATTACCATAGATCCACAGGCTAGCCATCGACGGCCCCACTTGTCTAGTACCATTGTCAGCACAGTGTCAGCTGGAAGTTCTGTGGCACTCGCTACTGTGAATGTCACGAACAAGTCCAGGCCCAGGCTACCAACATTCCTCACATGGCCATCAAAGCAAAGTGAAATTGCCATCCTGTATAAATTTGTGCATGTCAGATAAATACAGTTATCTCCAGTTTATAAAATTAAAATGATACTTGGCAATATTTCTACCTTTTTTTTTGTTTCACTTTTCTTAAATATGTTTCACAAAAAGATATATAATGCATACTTTAATGTAAAGAAAATGTTTCATAAGAATTGAAGTCGTACAAGAATTGATTTTTAGTCATAGTCACTGCTGTCTTATGGTAAATTGCATCCTCTAATAGGAACTTTGCAGTAACAAGGAATTTGTATTATTTAATCCAATTTATTTATGTTCAAGTCAAGACAGAGTAAAATGTATCTAGTAGTAAAAAAGTTCTTGAGTCTCAGCATGTGGCTAGAAACATACCAGATAGCAATGAGGAGCAGTGTTGTGCTTCGAAGACGAGGACTCTTGAATAGGTCCAGGACGGAATACACTCTGACTGCTTCCTCTTCTTTTTGAAGCTTTTCGCAGCTGTCCTGTAATGTTACAGATATTTTATAGTGACGTGTAATTTGATGGATACTCAAACTATAAAATTTAATGTAGTCTGAAGATGGAAAACATTTTTGAACACCAAACTAATCAATATTAATTTGACATTTAACAATGGATGGACAAGAAGGAAATGTCTTTGTACATACTACGAATTTTTAGGTCCTTGTGTAAGCGTCAAACATTATTGATTAGCAGTCCAGTTCATGAGCCCAGATAGCTCCTTTTGAAATCAGTAAGAAAATTACTAACTGCTTTTATTAAAAGTGTAGGATCGCTTGTCAGTTACTAGGCTAAGGAAGTATAATATATTATAACTGGTTATGATGTAAATATCACTTGTGTCCAGCTGTGCTTAACGTAATCTAATTTAACACCACTGTTATGTTTGCACGTCAATTTTATGTATTTTATTTATCAACCACTTACACTAAATTTTGTATAGATGTGGGGTTCGACTTTCATGCCATTAATTTTTTCAAACTTTTTCAGTATGCAGACAGCCTTGTTTAGTTTCCCTTGAGATACAAGCCATCTGAAACAGATCACATTAACATTATTAAAAGTTATATTTAAAATTAACTATATTAAAAGCTATATTCAGACACATCTTTCCACTTACATGTTAAACCTCAGTATGTGGGCAAAAGCCTACATGACTCTAAATTTGGGAATAATTAAAACATTCACATTACAGGTTAATTAATAATCCTGTCATCATTTGTCTGTCTTAACCTGAGTCTTTTCTCATTTAGTTTAATTGGTATTAAAATTTGTATCTATGTTAGAAGCTGTCACAGTGGCCGCGCCGCCTGAGGTGTAGGCCTTGTGTTGCTTGGACACTGTGACCATGGGTTCAATCCCACTCAAGCCATGGATGTTTGTCCGCGTTTTTCTGTGTTCTGCTGTCCTGTGTACAGGTAGAGGCCTTGCGACAGGGTGATCCCTCGTCCAAGGAGTCCTACCAACTGTCTAATTGATCAAAGCCAACGAAAGTTGGGACTCGCAGATGCTCAGGCACTGAAGAACAGGTCACCTAAGTATCTTAAGAAAGTATCTATGTTAGAAAATGTGTAACCTACCTGGCACTCTCTGGAACAATCCATGGTGTGATGGCAGCAAGAAGTAGAGGAACAGAAGTAGCAATGCAAAGCATCTTCCAGTTTGCAATGTAGTACGCCATCCAAGGCAGCATACATGAGGCCATTGTGAAGTAAATTGCAATTGACATGTTTGCCACAAAGGTTCGCCATTTTGGCCCCACATATTCTAGAACTGTACAAATTTAAGTTTTACTCGTCTATAAAGTGTATATGGAACAGTCTTTTAAAGTGAAAGAAATGTTTGAATTCTGAAATATTTAAGAATGTAGGTGGGCATGGTATATGGTTCAGATTTAACCCAAGATTTTTGTCATAGGATGTAAATAAAGTATTTTATAGCGTTACAACCCAGAAAACAGTCGTCTTGAAACTGACAGCCATGAAAACCTCAAATCCTACTAAGTATAATATTTGTTTGTAAAGAATATATTTGAATATATGCTAAAGGTAATGTTTAAAAGAAACCAAAATTTGAAATTACTGTATTTAGTTATTGTCAAGAAAGAGTAAAATAAGTTGGATATATTTAAAGTGAAGCTGCCCTGCTATATGCCATGTAGGCATTTTTGGGGAGTGTTTAAAGTCTGTGATAATCATGTTATTTTGAAGATAATGGGCATGAAATATTTCAGTTGCTAGTGTTTCATATGAAACTAAGAACCCTCTTATATTTGTATAATTTTATTTTAGGAACTAATTTTTTATGGATGCTCTATCAGTAAAATAATTTTAATTTTGTCACATAGATGATCTGAATTAGTGTTTGTTAGTAGGTATTTATATAGTATTAATGATTTACAAAAGATATTAGATAAGTAAATGGCCTTCTTTCATTTCCTTGAAATTTTGTGTAAATTGGGCGTGGCACACGTGTCAGACAGTAACCTTGCACTGAAATTCTTCTGCTATCAGAATGCTCAATTATTCAGCTAATGCAGATATTGTGGTCTGCTGGGTTCTGGCACTGTAGTCTTGTACATAGTTACCAACATTTCTACCTTGAAGTTGGAGACAGTACACTCCTCCAAAACAATGGTAACCATCTTCAGTCGTACATGGTGACTGAACACGGACGAGAAAGTCAAATCTCAACTAATGCATATAGATCTGTCTAAGCGGTTGTTAGATCAATTTCTGTTATTTTACTAATATTAACATTTTATTTATGATTGTCTTTTAAGTGGTGTCTTAGTGAGTCTTTTTACAGCTAAAGTTTTGTGTGAATGTTTTGTTTCTTCGTAACAATTTACAGATTTATGTAACGAGCCCAAATTATTCCCAAATTTGTGAAAGATCAAACTATTAAAATAGATCTTAAATAACTGAAAACATAACAAGCCTTATAGCTCCGGTATCACGAACTCGCTGGTTCAACATAGTTAAAGACAAATCCTGTCAATTGATTCGAGCTGAACTAGTTCACTTCTCATTTTTAAAATGGGTGTTTTGGATACGAAATGGACAGTTGCTAATGGTTTTTTTGTGTTGATTGTCTTGTAGCAATGCTGATTTCTTTTAAATAGCTGCGTGTTTATTGGCGTCTTTGAATTGGTTCTCTACAAGATACAGTGTAGAAATTTAAATGTTCCGTGATTATCCATGAAATAAATTGAGCATTGTGTACAGAATTGGGAGAGAAAAAAAAGAACTAGATTTTGTGTTGGGGGGGGGGTGTTTTTCGTCATAAATTTTATAGCTGAACATTTTCATAGAAAATAGGTTATACTATCTTCCGAACCGGTTTGACTCGTGGGTGCACTATAAGTCTGTACAGTTAACATAATCGAGGGAAGTGTTAATTTTCAAGGCCTGAGCCTCTCGTATTTTGAGCCTTCATTTGTATTATTTAATATATCTGAAGGCAAACCTGTTAGAAACACTCTTTTTTTTAAGTTTTTAATTTGTTATTAATATATTACAGGATACAGTTTAATTTACTCCAAGGTCAACAAAGCAAACAGGAGTTTACGTAATTACGTAACGAGGTAGCTTGAATTGCCATTACAATTAAACAAGTGAAAGGAGGAAGTTCTAGCATCTGTAAGAACTTCTTTCATGTCCACACACATGTGACTGGGAGAGAGAGGAATTTAGTTCAATTCATGGCTGTCCTTCATCTTTATGACATATTTAAAGCAGCTACTTAGAAAACACCCTCAGAAACCCAGAGTAGAAGGAGTTGTATGTAGTTTTCATGTTATTGAAAATTGTCTTCCTCGTTAATGTTTGTATAGTGAGAATTTTGTAAGCTCAAGGATTTATTTGCAGTAATTAATCTGTTTTTTGTCAGTGTGAGTAAACTCAGATCCCTGAAATTAGTAACTTACAGTGACAAGATGTTTTGTTTTTAACAAAATATCGGAAAATATATTTTATCTTAACGAAGCAATTTTATGTGTTATTTACATGAAGATTGTCAAATAGTGTTTTGTGTGGAAGATGAATGTGTTTAACCATGTTTTCCATCTCTGTAACTACTTTTTCTTAAACTTGGTATTACGGATCTATACTAAAAGTTGTTGGGCGAATTTAATTTTTTATCGTTTACAAAGTCAACAGTGACACAAAATTTAAATTTTAAAATTCACAATGCGTTTCTGGTTTCAGTCCGAAGCAAACTTAACAGGTAATACTGTCATGAAAAACATATATTCATTCATATATTTGGAACGTAACATTTTATTCAAAGAGGAAAAGACCATAAGAAGATGACTGTCTCCTAGGACATTGCAGTGCGTAATCTGGTACATGTTGACCGACATTTTAGACGACCTTTCTACATGAATATCAGTGTGCTAAGTGATCTTTAACTTGTGAAGTAGGTAGTTATGCTTTGTACAGGACACATTAATGTTCATTATAATTTATAAACATTTTAAACAACGGAAATAAAATATGCGCTTACCGAGAATATACATCATGGTGAAACAGTTGTCGAAAGCAAGACCAACTAGAAACCGACACACGCAGAATGCCCAGAAAGTAGTGACAAAAGAAGTTGCAATCCCCGCAATGAAACCTATAAGATTGGTCCAAACTAATGCTGGAATCCTTCCGTAGCGGTCAGCCACCCATCCAAAAATCAGTCCGCCCAAAATGGCTCCACAAAAAAATACCGCCTGCGCTATTGTAGGATAGGCTGCCTTGTCACAAACCCAGTCAAGCTGAAAATACAAAATGTTACAGCTACACTGAATATCCTCTGTTTTGGGGTAGCGGTTGTTTGTGATATGAGATGATGTAGTCTACAGACGTTACCCTAAATTCAAAATCATATTTTGTGTGTTCCTGTCTAGGTCTGAGGCCAAACAGGTTTTATGCCCTCCTTTACTCATTTTACCTGAAGGCAAAAGCAGAATTCAGGTTTTTTTATAGTTTAGATGATAGACGAAATCTAAAAGAACAATTCTGCATGTCATCACAAACCTTCTCTATAAGTAATTATGTATATAAATAATGTGGCTGTAGTAATTTAAGGAATATGAAGTCACTGTACTCTCCTGTTGCGTTTAAATCTTTTAGTTTTATAAAAATCAGATATTCATCAAGCTTAATGTCTCACCTCTGAAGCTATTGTTGAGTAGGGGATGTCTGTGTAATTGAATTCCCACCCATGTCTGCAGTCTGTGGTAGGCCATGATGGATTACCTTTTGTAATTCCTTTATCCCACATTTCAGTGAAATTCACTGCATACATTCTGCATTTATCATATCCTGTCTTGCCCTCATTTGGTGGGATAGCCAAAGATATCCTGTAACCAAAACAACATGACTTTTACGTAAAAAAAACTAAAGCGTAAATATATCTATTCTTGGATGATGTGATGTACAATACATGTAGCACATATGAAAGGGATGATAAATGCTTATAAAAAATTAGTTGGTAAACCTGAAGGAAAGAGACCACTTGGAAGACCTAAGTCTTGATGGAGGATAATGTTGACGTGAATCTTAAAGAAATACTTGGAGGATTCGTGTGGCTCAAGAAAGAGGTCAGTGGTGGACTGTTCTGAGTACTTCAAATGGATTATAAACTAAATTTAAAAATTTATATAAATTAACCGAATTTTTGGAATGACTTTTCCTATACAACGTCATGACCTTGTCGTCAGAAATTCGTTTGTAATATCTGGGGTATGGATCCATATTTCGCGGCACGATGTTTTATTTTTGTGATTTTTATTGCAGCCGATATAATATGTAGGCGTACTTGGTTAATTAAAATTGACTCCGTGTTTTAATGGGGTTTAAGGACAATATTATTTACACACCTAAAGACGATAATAGAAGGAATTCCCGAAACGTCGCATATATCGAATCTCATACATTGGGCAGTGTCTCGTACATTGTTGGTCCTGTCCTAATTTCGCGATTCTGCAAAAGTTAATTCCTCGCAGTAACAAAATGATGTTTATTTCGACATTATGGATTTATTCACCTGTCTGACAGAATTTAGTTTCTTTTAGCCAAAGGCGCCTTGCGAAAGAAAGCTGTATTCTTCCATCCACAGTTCCCGCCTCCGTCCCATTTTTCTTTTGTCTGCCATGATTAAGTTGATTCTAATTTTTGCCGGAAGTCACGTGTGTGTAACCACAGTAAAAACAGGAAGTTATTTTTTTTCATTAAAGCCATAACCATAGGTTGGTTCCTTTTTCAAGGTCCAAAAACCTGAAGGGGACAAAACATTTGGAAGACCTAGTTGGATCATATTAAGATATTTACTAGAGAAATAGTTTTAAAGTTTAGACCGGATTAATCTGGCTCAGGATAGGAACCAGTAGCGGCGTCTTGTGGACACAATAATGATCCATCAGGTAAAAAAGGCGGGAAATTCCTTGACTAAATGATTATTAGTTACACAGGAAGAACTCTATTTTATTACACATTGTGATTGAAACTTGCATTTCTTTTGTGAATTTGCTAAGATTTGAAAACTGACGAGCAAACTACATGGAGTCCTTTTTTGAGAAGGTAATAATCACTCATCTGGTCAAGAAACTTCCCACCTTTTAAGGACCACGAAGGCTTATTATCGTATTAACAAAAACCTAACCTAACTTTGGGGAGAGCATAGAAATCACTCTCTTATCGGCATTGTTATTATTTTACAAGATTCGAATCACACCCACGTACGTTTTGTCATAATAATTCTTATAATTATCGCATTCGCTCGAGCGTTATATAGGTTAGTGATGTAACGAACTAAACGCACAGAGACGTCTGATAGCAAATGTGTTTATATGTTAGTCGATTCGTGTTCTCGATTTAGCACGTTTCAAAACCATGCTGTGAAGGTGGATTTCATGGGGACACGAATGTCCTTGAGCTAGTAGGATAACAATGTGACATTTCTCATATTCCGAAATCCTGATTCAGTGATAACGTTATGAAAGGCGACCCCTTTGAAAGTACCAGTAAATATAAAACTATGACGAAACTTAATTAAATCAAGGATAATTAAGTGGGAATCATCCGTCATGACGTAGCGACCTAGCCACACTACTCACGCAAAGGTCATTAACAACAGACAATTATGACGTCACTGAATCCATTTTCACTGGTCAAAGGTCAAACTATGACAAACGCGCTACCGTTATTGGGTTTTTATGCGTACGTTTCCTAACGTGTATGTTTAAAATTAGGTTGCCCTAGGACGAAGGACAAAACTAAGTTTTTTGTGGTAAAGACTTAAGAAATATCTTCGAATGTACGTGTCTCTTATGACTTCTACAAGCGTCTGTATCGAAATACCTAATAACAGCAGATGCTCCACTCTGTAACCTGTCTTGCTAATTTACTAGAAACTTCGTATACGATTCCATTACGTCTTGTAGCTACGCTAAGGAATGCGAATTTTATTTCCTGATTTTAATGCGGTCGAGTAAAGAATCCTGATCTAGAAGTCAAGAAATACGGTATTATTGAATCCCCCTAACAGTCGCAGCAAAATTTTAAGGTATTTTGTTTATTGTTGTTATTATTATTTTTTTATTGTTGTATTTTGGTATTTATTTAATCTCATTTATATGAACTTCTACTGCCGTTTTCAGAAATTAAATGTTATTTATTTGTACATTAACAGTAATGATGATTGTCAGTTGGAATAACAAATGTAAACAAAAGTTATAAACTTGTTTCGTAAAACAAATCTCAGCGTGGAAAGTGTCAAAGGGCCGAATTTAAAAATATGACAACCTTTTTATAAAGTTGTATTAAAAATTGTTGTCCTTTCCGAATCAAATCGGATAAAATCGTCCATTTACTTTATAATTCTCCAGATGTGTGCGATTGATCACAGTAGTATGCATGGCATGAAACAAGGTTGCTGAAATTGATAAAAAAACGTATATATGGAGTCGAGCGCCACCTTTGACTGTGAAACCACAGCAGTTAGATTCGCTCTATTAAATTTTCGATACGGTCGAGATATCTGTGATATTTGTTGATATCTGTCTAAACTCGATATTATCACTACAATCAGGTTATGTACGTGTACAATTCCCGGCCCTCATGTCACATGTGGTAGTTTTACTGTTACTGCTAAAACATGAATTTGTTTTTCAAGCTGATTTTATAGTACATGAAATTCTGTGAAAAGTCAATAATTTACTCGTCTTGTATAAAGAAGTTCGTGACTATTCTTGGAATGTGTATAGACTGGATACATATCACAGAATTGTGGTCTGAGGAAAGTTAGTCGTCAGTTGTAGTATCTTATGTACATTGATAGAGGGAACCACTGTCTGCACCACCCACCATGCAATTCATCCCCAGACGCGTGGCCTCAAGGTTATAGCTAGCTTCACAGTACCTCTGCTATGACTGCAAGTGTGTTATATGTGACTGGTTTATATAATTTTACCCATCGGTTTGAATGTGTGTGTCATTGTTATGTTGAGAGGATAACGTGTGTGTAAACGAAGCCCAGAGAATGTGAGAAGTTAACCAACAAGAAAATTATGGACATAACTAATGTAAGTGACAGTTCTCTGCTTCTACTTTTAGGTTATTCATGGGGATTTAAATGACCATTAGATAGTTAAACAGCTGTTGAATTAGCTTTCTGTTGTCTTTTAACCTATAAGTCGCCAGTGCCATTTGACTGTCATGCATCAACTGAATGCAGTTATTCATATTCTCATAACCTATTTCTCCAGGAATATTTTACTGTTTTCTTCCTGTCTGTGCCGTGATCTTCATACGTCTCATTACCGAGAGATGTTACAAAAAGCAGTTATTATGCATTTATTTTCCATTGCTTTCTCAAATGCCTCCAGTATCGTGGTAAATGTCTTTATGGTCTGTTTTGTGTTGTGTGATCTTGAACAGGTCGTCAAGAAAACGTTCTTCTGAAAATAAAACCGCAGTTCACACTACCAAATACTTCTCTCAGTAGATTTAGAGTTTAATATTCATCATGAAAATAGAATTTACGGTTTTAATCTGTACAAAACTAAGACGTAAACAAACAAATCATGGCATTTAGTTTATAAATAAAATTCGGTGAAGAAAGTGGTTATAAACAATGCGAAACGATAAAATAAAACCAGTATTTTGTCTTCCAGTCGTGGTGAACAACTAGTCCATACTAGCCACGATATGTAGGCTAAGTAACTGCAGAGTAACACAATCACTGTTTTAAAACCTGAATAGCTAATGTCGGATGATTTCTACACGCTGTAATTGCCTTAAGTAAATGAAACGCGATATTGCATATAAAATTTCTACTGTTTATGGCTCTGTATGTAGGGTAAGAGTTGCGGTCCTGAGGGCAATGGCTGCTAACGGAGTGGGTGTGTGTTGGACTGAAGTGGAAAGAAGTCTTTCTTTGCCAAATTGGCAAACTACAACGTGCGTTTTGGCACGCAAATATTTCTTATTGTCTGTAGAAGCAAAATTTAAAATAAATTGCTTAAAGGATACTCTGTAGTACGTACTAAATATGTACACATAAAACCAACACATGGTTGGGGAGGACATAGATTGCTTTATGTACTATTTCCAAAGACCTCGCGTCCGTAGCAGATCGAAGAAGGAAGACTTTGTGTTATGTTATCGATTTGTATAGTATCGTAACTTCATCTATAATAGCTTCCGGGTGTTTTGTCATCGTCTCCTTGGAAATGAAGGTGCTAGTAGAGTGTATACAAACATAATTGTAGGACCAAAGCAGGCCATTACCTGCGTGTCCGTATGGCCACTGATAACGTCTTTTCACGTGTCGCGCGGACACGGCTTCAGTTCACTTCCGACCAGTTCGTGTACTGTCGCTGTGTCAGCTATAAACGTTACTTGACACGGATTACGTAGCGATGTTACGTAATGAATGACTATTAAGGAACCTGAAGGTAAATTCATTATGATAGAGATTATAAAAATAATTTTAATGTGTTTTTAATGCCGTTTCAGGTATCTTAATTGGAATATAGGCCGTTTAAACTTGGACAGGTTGGTGTAATTGTACTGATCCAATTTTGCATGTCGAAGTAGCGGGTTCGAATCTCGACCCATTTACCGGGTACCCTGACTTAAGAGATTTTCGTGGTTTTCTTCACTGTCTTCGGACGACTAACACTGCTTTCGAAATCATCACCTACTCAGACTTCATATGATTATCTCGTTTAAGATTCTGATGTCTCTTCCAATTTAAACAGCTTAAATGAGTAATTTCATAATAAACTGCATTAATTTTTAGGACGGTCATGGATTGTATGCTACTTTTAGGTAAATTATACTAAGCTAAAAAAGCTCT